TACTAGGAGCAAAGGGTACTAGGAGCAAGGACGCTACTAGGGGCTCCTGGCCTTACTACTAGGAGCAAGGACGCTACTAGGAGCAAACGGCATCGCTGATAGGAGCAAGGACGCTACTAGGGGCTCCTGGCCTTACTACTAGGAGCAAGGACGTTACTAGGAGCAAAGGGCATCGCTACTGGTTTTCCTTCGAACTGCAGCCACAATGACCCTCCACATAGTAATGCATCATGCCATCTGGGTAGAAGGGCTCCGATGCTCTCAAAAAGACATCCTGTGCTTGGCGCAAGGAAGTAGATTCTCAGCAACATGCCAGTCTCGTAAACAAGCATTCTCATATTAAGCATAAACCTTGCGTAAAGCAACATGCCGTGTACCAAAGTACAGACTTTCTAGTCTGCCACTATCAAGCTTTTAGTCCAAATCTGCAGCATCAATCTGCCTCGGAGATATCAATGGCATCATTATCATTGCCAGGGCGTTTCTCATAGACCTGCACTAGGTGCACTTCTCCTGGTTACATAAATGCAGTAATGGACCAACACGCTAGAAACAATGTTCAAAGAGCAAGTAATGCGAGGCACAAATCCCCACAAGTATGAAGCAAGCTTCAGCCATAGCATTCAAATAATATCAAATATATAATTCCCTTTTGCACGTGAGGATTGCCCTGAGGTCTTGCACTTGGAGGTTTTGCAGCAAGTTGATTGATTTTGTCAAATCCCTGGCACTTGAATTGCGTCAGGATTTTGCCACCGACCGCATCCGAATTCCTCACCCCTTCCGATGCAAGATAAGCCAGGCAACAATGTTGCGGATTGGCTGCTGTGTGGCACGCCTATCACGCAATCTGGCCACCTGTCATGTGAGTGTTTGTACAGCAAAATGTCCAAACTGGTGAGAGTGACGCATGCTGTGTGGACGCTGCAAAGCTTGCTAAGCTTGCTGTGGAGTAGAATGTAGAATAGAATCCTCACATAACCTGACTACAGTAGTTAATCAAGTCGAATAAATGTATCTCCGCGAACTGTGTCACATGTATGCAATTGTGCAACGAACTTCAGTTCAGCATATGGCATTTTGCCTGGTCATAATCCACCGTCTTTGTCCTGGTACCCTGCCCTGCACCGAACAGAGAGACGATGCGGCTCCTGTTGCGGGGCCACGAGTTGCATCGATGGGTGCAACGTGCAATAATCTAGGAACCAAATGATTAGTGCGAGCGCTTCTTTAAGGAAGCTCCCCTCGCCCTCAGAGTTTCCTTGAAGAAGCGTGAGCTATCCTGCGTCCAGTTACTAGAAGCTAACTTAGCCTATTAGGGCCTAGTAGCTTGATACTTAATTACAAGGAGGCGGGGCCTCGGGCTTAAAAAAGGAAAACTTACTTATAGTCACTTCATGACTGCGTTGGGATGTGCGGCAGCACATACTTGGGAGTTGTTCAGCTAGGCTAATTCCTTCTGGCTGTCTCACCGACCATTGCATTCTCAACTCTAGTTACTTGTTTTGCAATTGTTGGGGCTCCCTAGTGATGCCCTCTAACACCGCTTGCTCTAATTTCCTCTTATTATTGGATCCTCGACACCTAATTATATTTAGACCTTCACAGCCTGCGCATGGAGGGCAAGTGTTGGAAGCTGCTGCTCTTGGTCTGCTACAACCTCCGCTCTCCTGATGTTGGCACTGGCATGCTGCAAGGCACTTTTGATGGAACGGAACATCCGCCGTAGAGGAGTTTCCACCTGGCCCATCAGTGGTCTCTACACATAGTGCTAAACTCAGGAATATATATTTGGGACAAAACACTTAAAACGAAGTAATTCTGCGAATTGCCGATGCAAGTCATTGCACTGAATCAACCACGCTCCTTTTCTCAGCACAATCTGTCACTATGGGGTCTATTCAATCAGTATCCAAGAGGAAAGCCGCCAATTTGACCCATCTCTTGCACAGGCGTGCCATTGCACACATAGCCGATCCTTGGTTTACAGTTCGCTGAAGTGTCCACATTTACTCCAAAGGTGTCTTTCCATTTTACTTGATAGCCAAGATTCCGCAGTTTCATCAGCAAGCCCTTCTCTCCGTGCGTGGAGTTCACACATCTCATGGTTTGGGTCACCAAGTCTGTCTGGGGCGGTAGAACCTGTCCTGTCGCTGGCCTTGGCAAGTGTAGAATGGAGAGATGATGTCACACACAATGTGTGGCCCAAAGCAACCGTCTCGGACAATACAATTCACGCTGCCAATCAATCATCGTCAACATGAACAACGTTTGGTGAGTGCCCCCAGTCCATTCCAGTTAAGCTGTGACACCCCAACAAGCTGACATAGAAATTACAAGTAGTGCAAGTTACTGGTCAACAGCCACTTGGCAAGAGCGTCTCTTCACAGGTAGTTTGCTAACAATTCAGCCAAAGTATACATAGTAAATATAGCACAACATTATACAGTTATACAGGATTTCAGAATCTCTAGCCATCAAACTGTGGCTCTTTGTCAGTAAACCTGTAGCCTGTGATGGATCTCTCACACACACATGATGTGAATGTTTACAACCCCCAATGCAAGTACTGGTGCACATCAGGGCCGGCAGATTCAGGTGCCTTGTCCTGCATGCACATTGAATTCATGGCCATGTTTCTTTTGAAGAACAGGACCGGCAGTCCCTGAAGCCCGCCCGAAGTACCAAGTAGCTGCATGGTGAGGGTGATATATTTTGGCACTGCTGCTTCAAAAACAAAATTTGTCATTGGCACATTCCTTGGCCGCGCTTGACATGGGATAGTTCAGCTTGGGGCAGGGTCCAGAAGGGAGAACCAATCTGAACATTCTGAGGCTGGAATAAAGCCAGAGCCTTCCTAATCATAAGAGGACAGAAAAGACCCTCTCAGGTGTCTCAAATTAGCAAGCACAAGCAAACTTCAACCACGGCACAGATTGTTAGCAAACTTCGCCAGCACGGTGGTGGAGCCATCCGCATCCTGAGGAAACGTCGTGCAATGCCGCGCGAAAAGGTTGGTGCACTTACTTCTCAATTGATCCACTCGACAGGGCACCAGCTCAAAGCATTGGACTTCCTGATTAAAGCACCCATGGAAACTACTAGCCGTGTCGCACTGATGCCAACAGTGGTTTCTCAGTAGATGCCACAAATTCAAAGATGTCTTGTAGATGGGTGTCCAATGTGTCCATATAAACCACCTGTTGTGGATTCTGCCATCTACTCTCAACCACTATTACTATTACCATCTATTACCCCAATCACTGGTCCAAACTGGTCGTCCAGCAGCGCACAGCACCCTAGAACTGACTTGTCAGTTTGACATTCCTGCTCTTGTACTGACTTGTCAGTTCAAAGTGGTATAGTTTGACATGCTGTCTTTGACATTCCTGCTCTTTGCCACTGAGATTCCCGTGGGTGCCCACACATTTTGTTATTGTTGAACACCTGAATCCTTGTGTTTTCCCAAACTCCCCTCGTCTCCACAAAAATTGCCATCTGCTTGCGCACACATAGGGCGTCTTCAGTCGGTGTCACATGTCTTCATGTTGTGTTCACATGTCTTCATGTCGTCGTCTGCTCGTCTGGTCCCCGCTGGTCTTTTTCACTCCCGACGTCGAGCGCAATCAATGGAGGGGACACACCCGAAAGGACCGTGGTCGACAAGGATGGGACTGACGACAAGGAGGACCGAATGTCGGGAAAAGTGTGGGAATCGTCCCGGAAACATCTTACTTGGAACCGACAGAAAGCACAACTTCTTTGATCTCTCTTGATTTTTGTGAACTCCCAATCCAGCTGTCAAGAATCTTTTCGCGGAAAGAAGGTGATCTTGAGACCATTCTTCTCAAAGGCAACCATAGGCGGTGCATCTTGAGATGCAGCTGGGGCTGGAGGCACGCCAAGCATGTCTAGCAGCCCATCCCCGCCCATGGTGGGAGCGGGAGCTGTAGGAGGACCTGCCAGGGAATCTTTGAGTCACTTGGCATGATGAACATGCACTGACAGCGACAAATTTTATTGAGTATACATATTATACATACATACATACATACATACATACATACATACATACATTACATTACATTACATTACATTACATTACATTACATTACATTA